AGGTTACCCCGTAGCACGGCGACAAGTCACGCTGCCTGCTGGAAGCGGGTGTCACGCCCAGACTTGCAGCCAAACAAGGGCTTTTTGGGTCTCTCGGTGGCGGCGTGTTTTCCTTTTGAAGGCGAAGTTAATGATTAGTAGTTAAAGGCCGTGGCTGTGTGTCTTGCGCAAACGGCGGGTTGCTTCCAAGAACTTCCAAGGCTTTCTGGCTAGCTCAACTTAAAGCGTGTGTTTGTCTTGATTAATTCTGTTACATGCCCGGTTAGGGTTTGCCTTCCTGGCCTGAAGTTTTTACTTTCTTGCTTTACAGTATGAAAACCCCTGGACGATCCCAAATATACTGTCAATGGCAAGAATGGGTTTGGCGCCAGTTTTAGGCTATTTGATTGTTGAAGAAAATTTCAATGTTGCACTAGGTGTCTTTGTTTTGGCTGGCATAACGGATTTGGTATGTTTACATCAGTTTGGAAATACTTTGGGGATAGCGTGGGTTGCAGTGATCCCATTAACGTGTTGAAATTCAGACTCCACTGTAGAATGGAAATGAATAAACAGATTAGTTTTTATATTCATTGTTTTGTAGAAATGGTACAGATGTCCTTTGCGACATTGTGAAGGGAGCTCGGAGATAGCCGATGGGGACTTAGTGCTGGTGGAGCAAAGGGGATGTCGGGGTTCCCTGACCAGCCCCAGGTGGGCATTGTCCAGTCAGTGCTTATACATCTAGTGGTCCGTTACCATATGCAGGTGTACCTGGTGCACCCATCATGACAATAATTGTGTGAATTTTAGAACATCAGTTACCTTCTCCCCCCCTCCCTTTTTTTTTTTTTAAGTGAGAATTGAATATGTTCAGAGGCCTCCAGAATCTGGAGTGTAATGTGAAAAAAGCATGATAGAAATATCAGCTAACAGGTCTTACATTTCATCTTAGTTAAACTAGCTGTGTTATGTGATGTTGTTCATTAAATATCTCTGCAACAGTAGCATATATAAGCTATTTTTATTCTTAGTTTTCTAACAGAGAAACATTGAACTTTGTTTTTCCTAGTTGGATGGATTTATTGCACGAAACTGGGCTAATCAGAAATCAGCTTTGGGAAGTGCTCTTGATCCTCTGGCCGATAAAATTCTCATCAGTGTGCTCTATGTAAGCCTAACTTGCGCAAATCTAATCCCAGGTGAGAAAATGTCATTACTTGCATGTACTATATAAGGTAAAGAAGCTAATTTTATGTATAGTAGTATTTGTTGTGGTTCTGGAAGGGAAACTGTATTGCTTAGAACTCTTGCTTTGTCAGTTGCACTTTGCTATTTGCTCCTATTAA